CACCATCTCCTTTCTTTGACGTATGTATCATTGCTTCAAAACCCATTTTATTACCATACCTTTTGTGATACTTCACCAGACTATCAACTGAATCAAACACCATTCCAATATGAGGCTCCACTTCGTCCTCTGCACATTCCATATCTTCTAATTCATCACATTGATTTTCCTGATTTAATGGTTTTATAATGGATAAAATTAGAATGTACTAATACAACACATCATAAGAAACAATACGATACAGCAAATTTAAATTCATGTTAACGAAAAAGTTAAAGTTTCGAACACAATTTAACTCAACATCATTGAAATTAGGAAAATTGGACTCTTCCATATTCCGTAATTTCATGCAAAACCAATACCAATTTTTGCATTCACGAATCTGGCTCATAACAGTCTCCAACAAATATTGTCTATCAGTTATTTTGTATTGTAACATATATTCAATCCAAAATAGAAAACGAAACTAAATAAATGCATAAATTAAGTCAAAAATTCTTAAGTACCTCAACAAATATTTCTATTCTCAAAAAAGTTTGATCTCCCTTTCCACCCTAAAAGACTCTCTCTGTAAAAAATTCGTGGCTTTGCTATAAAAAATTCTTGTCACAGTAGCTGGTTGTTGTAGTTGTTAAGGAAGAAACTGCCAATACTGCATGGAAGACTAACAAGCTCCAGCAAGAACAAGTTAAAGAAAAGATGAGACGATGAAGCTTAAAGGTATTAGCTTTAAAATGAAGCTACAAATAAAGTCCTTTTTTTTTTCATTTAAGAATTTTGGCGCTTATCTGCAGAAGAGTATTAGACATGCTATATCTTTTTTATTTTCATGATTGAAAAAAATTTGTAAACTAAAAAAAAAAAAAAAAAAAGCCTCGCTGTTCAATGGATCGTCGTCCATCTTATACAAATGGTCGTCCATTGAAAATGGTCGCCCGTCCATTTAATAAGGACGGGCATCCATTCTTTTTTTTTTTTTTTAAATCATTCCTCCTTATTTTAAAAATACTACAAGTCATTATGGACGGGCATCCATTATTATTTTCGTTCAAAATTTCTTCCAGATTGGTAAACGGCCGTCCATTTGTAATGCGTGGTCGTCCATCAAATATAGACAAACGTCCATAATTGTTGGATGGCCGTTCATTCACGGAAGACATGTCATAGTGTCCAACATAGCCACGTCTAACTCGGATGCCACATAAGTCGGTACAACAATTCGATGAGATTAATCAGTGTCTATAGCATTATTGTTTCATAAATACTCTTTATTTTTATTTTTTTTCTATATTTTAAGAGTTTACATTTCATTCCCTTCACTTATATCATATATCTACAACATCGTTATTTCTAAAAAAAAAAAAAAAAAAAAAAAAATCAATAGCTAAATTGAAAGTTAAAAAAAAAAAATTGAAGTTAAAAAAATTTCTTAAAAATAATCCCAAGAATATAATACATTTAAACAATACAACATTATATACGTAATTTAATATAGAGTTAAATTCATCGGTATTAAATTTATTGAAAAGTGGAGCGTATTCAGTCTATCAGTAGAGTGCCAACAGATCCACTTTTTTAAAATATTCAAGTTGTACTCAACACTTCAAGCCCAACAATAAATCAAGTTTCTGACAACAGTAAAATTTTGAGTTTGAACTCATTTTTTAGGTTGATTAGGTGATGAAATTTAAAGCATGATTTGATAAATATTTGAAGAAAAATGTTATCTTTACAAAGACTCATACAAAGAGTGCTACTAAGTAACATCATCCAGAAGAAAAAAACAAAGAAAAAACGGAAAAAGAGAGAGAGAGAGAGAAATCATGAAAATCAAGGGTGAGGATTGTCTTTGTATGCCCCCTTTATATGTGTTTTTGTAAAACTAGCATTGCTCATATTTCAATAATTGGAAAACAATAGGATAGTTATGAAACCCAATCCTAGCTTGTTTGAAAAAATCATTGGGTGCGTTTGGTTTAGTATTTTGGATAGGATTTTGGGGATAGTATTGGGTTATTGGATAGGGGATTGGGGATAGTATTGGGTTATTGGATAGGGGAGTATTACGAGGTAAATTTTAAAAATTTGTGAAAAAGCCCTTAGGTTTACTAATTTAATTAAAGACCCTAACATATAAAATGACAAAAACACCCCCACCACTTGCAGTGCCAGATTCCGGCCACCACCATCGGAATCTGGCCGAAAAATTTCGTTACGGCACAGACCGGTCGGATCTATGCCGTAACACGTCGTTATGGCCTTTTCCAGCCAAATCCATGGTGGATCTGGCCGGAAAAGGCCAGATCTACGGTTTGTTATGGCAGTTGACTGTCGGAAAAGGCCAAACGACGGCCATCTTTGGTCATCAGCGACGGCCAAAGATGTGGCCGTCATTTTCGGTCAACGACGGCCATTTCTTTGGCCGTCGCTGACGGCCAGATCTGGCCTTTTCCGGCCAGATCCACCAGAAAAGGCCACATCGGTGAACTTCCGACCATTTATGGTCGGAAGTTAGGCCGTTGTATAGATTCCGGCTATCATCGATGGTGGTTACCGGAATCGGACAAGTTGGGTTGATGGGGGTGTTTTTGTTAATTTTTAAACTTTTTTTAGGGGGTATTTAGTGAAATTAATAACCTTATGGGGTTTAAAAGTAATTAGAAAAATAGGGTAATATTTCTGAAATAATTTGCCAAACATTATTTGGAAAATAGGATCCAGAATATGGATAAAAATATTAAGCCAAACACAGCCATTAATTTTTAGGAAGATTTTAATAGATTTTGGTTAAAGTATCTTCTTCTTTATAAATTGGGTTTTTTACGAGGGCAATACTACATTTTCAACTTAATTTCACAAATTTTCTCTCACAACCCCGACGTAACAGTTCACAATTATTCAACTGGCAATAGATCTCACCTGTCTCAATACGAGCTGACCAATTGCGAGTTGTCACATCGGAATTGTGAGAGAAAGTTTATAAGATAGATCCTGTCTACCTTAATACGAGCTGTCACATCGGAATTGTAAGAAAAAGTTTGTAAGATTGGATCGTAAGTCAATCTTTATTATTTTTAGAATCCTTTCTTTTATGCTTCTAATAATATATCATCACTCATTTTTAGAGTAAACGACCTTTTCCCACCCAAATAATGTCTTAATAACACTTCTCACTCACAAACTTTTAAAATACCACTTTATTATCCAAATTTATATTCCGTTTCCGATGTTGGCATCATTGCGACCTCACACCACCATCATTCTCATCCCCGATCATTACTCACTAAAAACCCTCAAACCCCACTCCCCTCGACCCTATTAATCACCGACAACCGAATGATTAGGGTTTCCGTAGCCGCCCCTCCCAAGTCAAATTCCGATCAATCCCAACCACCAAAATCCAACCTTCCATCATCAAAAGATTCATTGACCTCCCCTCTTCAAAAGCTTCAACAACTTAGATAGAATTTGCTCTTGGTTCGTTGTTGGAATATAAATTTAGATAGTAAAGTGACATTTTAAAAGTCAAAAGGTAGAAAAGTGTCATTAAACTATTATTTGGGTGGAAAACAACCTTTTTAACTCTTTTTTATATTCAATGCCTTTGAATAATGTTAAACATAATCGATACACCAAAACCAATGCCACAAGTTTCCTGAACACATGAAGCCGAATGGCAATAGGGCGGGTGGAATGAGTAATACTATATTTACACTACTCTTTTACACCATATTCATTACATCATGATGTGACATATGTCACAACCGCACAAAATTTTAATTATTTTAAATTTTTAATATTATAATAGAATTTGTGTGGTTGTGACATATGCTACATCATGATGTAATAAAAATGGTGTAAAAAAGTGATGTAAATATAGCATTACTCGGGTGGAATTAGGCAGGCACATGAATAGATTTATGTGGGCATGGTTTCATTTACAATATTGCAGCCATGCCTACCACACTACACCCATTCAAACAAAAAGTTTGCAGTTAATACATAGCCGGCTAGTTTGGTAACCTTCATCATCAAATTTTAATGTATACATTTGGATTTGCCTAACGCCCCAATATGCATACAATAAATTGTTATTGAGATGGCACCCATACATCAATTCATTTGCACGTATTTCCTTCTCTTTTCTTTACAAAATTCATTATGATTTGGTTATTTTCAGAGGGAAAGGTAGTCAAATTAATGAGAAATTTGAATAGGAAAATTGATAAAATTAACCACCATGTGAAGTGATTGTGAGGGGCCAAAATCCAAATACAAAATCATTGAATGCATTTCCGGATCAAAATGCCCCTATCACATACATACATACATACATACATGTCTTCTTCTTCTTCAACAATTCTCATCCCCCATTGTAGAAATACCCCACTGATCTGCACATTGTAAAGGTCAAGGAATTTGCCAAAACATGTGTCTCTGAATATCTGCAATTGTTGCTTGCCTGCTTACTCAACAGGATGATACTTCAATCCATGCACATTTATATCCTCCCTTTGTCTCTTCATTGTGGGTTTAAACTGCAACAAACTGAACAATTACAAAAGCCTCGGGTTAAGATTCATTGTTACTAAGTTACTAACTGCATCATATTTAAAATACATATAAGATCTAAACAATGTCAGAATTGGTTCAAGAGGCCTTCTAAAACATTCAAACATTCAATGGATTTACTTGTGATACAATTAAACTATAGCAGATTTTGAAAGGATTGTGATAAAATAAGAGTGTTTAAGGTTATTTATAGATTCAGAATGTTGATATGTGTTCAATATGATTTGGTGCTGGAGACAATCATTTTGCATTAGAGCCCTTAAATAGTTGTCAATGTTGTTAATTTCCCTATGATTTTGCAATTGGTAACCCACCTCACAAGCACATGCTGATTTTAATTCTCTTCGGGAAGTGTGTTACAATGAAACACACCAAGATTTAGTACTCTTCAAATTATCTCAATTGATATGCAAATAAAAATAATAGGGTTCATCAAAAGAACCATAAAAGGCAGATGATGACTTTGATAAAAATAAGTATGTCAATTTGACAATATTTACAACCAAAAGTAACAACCTCTTCAACTTTCACTCATTCCTTTTACTCTCACAATGACAAAATAAACATTGAAATTCAGAAAGACATTAACACCCTGGACCTGGAATCCTAATTAATCCCAAAGAAATAAAAAAATATATAACATAAGAAAAAAGGAAAAGAATTCTGAAAATCAACTTTAAATTTCAATATCCACTAAGTAAATTTTAACCTTTGTTGAATCATCATCTACCCTCATTGTTCACCTGCAATGATCCATCCCTCATCAGTTTCAAACTCAGACTATTGAACCGCTCTCGTGAATACTGTCTCGATGCTTTTCTCCAATCTGTACCAGCCTTCATCATTGCTGCGAACTCATCGTAACTTATCCGCCCATCCTGTAATGTCACTCAAAGGAATTTAGACTGGAAATAAAGGGTGCCAAAAGATTATATTGGCACACAGAAATTGTGCGATTAATTGGTATGAAACAATTTTTATATTTATAACACCTAGAAACTTATTAATTTTCTCAGCCATCACTTCACATGTATGCCCTACTTAAAATTGTAGATGAAAATAAAAACCCTAATAGATAAGGAAGATGATGACCAATAATGTAAACAGTAGAACAAATAACCTTATCCGTGTCAACATCATGCATAATGGCGTTAATAACTTCTTCGCTGTTGTCAACTTCATCAGCTAAGGCTTCTCTTAGTTCCTCAATCTCTATATACCCGCTTTGGTTTTGATCAAAGAATGCAAAGGATTTGCGGAGATGCTCATCATTACCCATCTTTCTTAGGTGAACAGAAATGGCCACATACTCGCCGTAGTCAAGATATCCATCCTTATCTACATCACCCTGTGAAAAGAACTTTCAATTACTTTGTTCTCTTCAAATTGAAGAAAACTTCACAAGATTACCATCTTACTAAATTCACCAAGGTAAAACAAACAGCAATTTTTTGGGGAGGTGAGGGAATAAAAATGAATTGGCAATATTAATAATGATTGTCAAAACAAGCACAATCTTGATACTTTTTCCTACCAAAGTAGCAGGCCAGAAAAATCAATACTTGGCTTGGGGGGTTTTGGCCACCCACAAGTTTGGACTATCTTTCTATGGAACTGAAGCGAACAGCCCAAGATTACTTATTCACTATCAACTATTAATTTTTCCCTAACTGCGGTTGAAGACAAGAAAATTGATTACAATCTTGCAGGCTGTTACGCATTCAGGTTTTGATGGAGTAGAAATCATATTGGACATTTTCTGATGAGAGCTCCCACTAGTTATTATTATAATTCTTTTTGGACAGAATGAATATAGTGCAACTAGACAGTAATTAAAGTCCATTTTCCATTAAACTTGGTGTTTCAAAGTGTCATTTAAATGGCTAAAGATAGGAAATGAGATATTATTATGGGCATTCTTTTTCTGCACCATCAAGATAAAGGAGACTTCCAATTGAATATCAAAGCGTACACAAGACCAAGTTCAAGGTAATACTTACAGCATCCATTAGAATTTGAAGATCTGCATCAGGGATCTGATGGCCAAGCTTGTGCAGCCCAACTCTGAGCTCATCAATGTTTATCTTGCCCCTATTTGAAGTATCCATTAGTTGGAATCCCTCCTTTATGCCAGCAACTTCCTCCACGGACAAAAACTCAGCAATTACCTGTGATTTAAATTTCATACAGAATCAGAAACTGATGACTTTGACGGTAGGTTTATGAACATCATACAACCAAAATAAATAGGCCCTGTCCATATCATAATGAATTTAATTTTAGATAAAAAGCTCTTCAAGACATTACCCTAAGAGCTCTTTTCTTGAGTTTGTTCATTACTGAGAACTGCTTGAGCCTTGCTCTCACGGTTTCACCTAATGAAACATTTGGAGCCTTCTTTGCGTTTTGTAACCAAGGATGTTCTGCATTTAAGGAGTAAGCAGTAGTAAGCACTTATTTCAAGTAATATTTCAATTGAAAATGTTTGCAATTACCAGTGATAATGCAGAGCATATAGCTATAAAAATAAAAAACTATTTAATAAATCTGAATGTTACCTAGCACTTGTTGAGCAGTAAGCCGTTTCTTCGGATCTGGGTCAAGCATCTTCCTAACGAGGTCTTTTGCATTATCAGAAACTTTAGGCCAAGGATCCCTCTTAAAATCTATAACAGACCGAATAATTGCCTGTGCAACTCCCTGCTCAGTTTCTAAGTAAAAAGAGAATAGAATTTCAGACAAGACAGTTAGAGAAAAAAGCACATGAGACACTTCAAAACACAAATACACAATAACTTCAATAAGTGAGACATCTCTTCAGCTGAAACTTCGGATGATTTAAGTTTACAAGCATATAAATCAAAGTTCAGGAGAAAACTACCACCAGATGAATACAAATTACAAGAGTTTGCAGATAATACAGTGACCAATTAATAGATATAGCAAATTCAACTAATTGACAAAACTTAAGTTGAAACGGGACAAACGAGAACTTTTTATTTGATAATACTTAATTGTCCAGTTGATATCATTTTTTTTTTTTTTTTTTTTTTTTTTGAGTAAAGCCTGTGTGCATAACTTTATCAATCATCCTAGCAGACGGAACTAAATAAACAACATTCTCAGTTTGTAACAATGGTGTCCTCTTTCTCTAAGCAACCAGAAACAGGTAAAAGAACCTCATGACTCTTAAAGAATGCTAAAGGCATTGGACAGTTGAAAGGGAAAAGGTATATATATATATATATATATATACATGCACATTTTTGCGACATGCATCCCGAGCAAACCACAATCCTATACAAGCAGTAGCAAAGGCATCTTGTCCTTTTGCTTTATTCACTCTGGTTAGCTGATAATGATCTTTTCGGCTATTTGGAGTTGCACTCTTAATTCTTAAATGGCTAACTAGTCAAAGCAGTACTCTTTAAACATATTGAGAAACCTAACCTGCCCAAAAAGGTGGGACACCACAAAGTAAGATGTATAGGATAACACCAGCACTCCAGACATCTACTTCTGGGCCATAATTCCTTTTAAGCACCTCAGGAGCCATGTAGTAAGGACTGCCAACTATCTCAGTAAATCTTTCACCTGCACATCAGAAATAAAAGATTTTCAGCAAACAGAACAAGGTGGCAACCACTGACAAACCCTAAGAGTGAAAGCAATCATATGCAATAACCTTCATGTGACATACCTGGTCTAAAGAAAACTGAGAGTCCAAAATCAATTGCCTTCAAAGGAGATGTTTCCTTCTTGTTTGCAAATAAAAAGTTCTCCGGTTTGAGATCCCGGTGCATTACACCATGCTTGTGGCACATCTGCAACATAACAGTACAACCAATTAAGAAAAACAAATTGCAAACACACTGAAAAGCAAACTAAATCAAACAGAAGTAACAAGCACAAAATAAAAAAATTAGTAAATGAGAAATGTAGAGCAAATAGCACATTAACACTGGGTAATACTGCACACCAATTTTGAACTTCTATTTATTGGTATGCAGTCATTGCTTCAATGTTTAAATGATGTACGATGAATAAGGCATATAAGAAAAACAATATCTCAAGAGATGGCATCCCCGGACATAATAAAAGAAGCAATTCAATTGAGTTTAGACAATACCAATCATCACGTCTGCAATACTATTAGCAACCATTTTCCAATCAAGACTTATTTGATAATTGATTTCAAAAAGTATCTTCACCATCACAAACTAAAAAATTAATAGAGAATGAAGGGCGGAAGCCGCAGAACCTAAAAGAAATAGACCTTCAAAATAACCCATTACACAAACAATTCAACCTGATCACCGAAATCCAATTGCACAAAGAAAATTGGACAATACTGTCAATACATAATGCTTATCAAACCAAATTAGGGCTCAATAATTGGTGAGGGAGATGGCGATCCATAATACAGAAGAAAAAAAAAAAAAAAAACTGTTCACTCAATCAAGCATAACAAGTCAATTCTGAAACGATGAATTCCTAAAAGTTAAATATCCATTTCCCCAGGACTAGATATAGCAGTGGAACACAAGTTAAAACTAAATCCCAATCCAACATACCAAACAGACAATCATCAAACCAAGCTAACTCCATAACATACAAAATTTTCAATTTCATTAAATTCCATCAACTCCTTTGGTCAGATTTGCACAAACAATACTGTCCAAGCTTTCAATTCAACTTGAAAGTTAGATCTACCAATTCCCCATGTAGAAACAACATCTACTAAAACTCTCAACACCAGATCTGCGTAAAAGCAACAAAAACTAACCTGAACAACTTCCACGATAGTCTTTGTGACCGCAGCCGCAGCCCTCTCTGTGTAATGACCTCTGGCCACAATCCTATCAAACAATTCACCTCCCTCACAAAGCTCCATCACCAAATGGACTGCATTATCATCCTCATAAGTATCCTTTAAGCTAACAATATTTGGATGCTTTGGCAATTGCTTCATAATCTCAACTTCTCTCCTCACATCCTCTATATCAACAGCAGTCCTCAACTTCTTCTTTGAAATACTTTTACATGCAAATGTCTCACCACTTTCTTTGTCTGTACACAAGTATGTCACACCGAATTCTCCACGCCCCAGCTCCCGTCCCAGCAAGTAGCTCTGCTCAATTTCCCGCCCCGTTGGCTCCTTTAAAACGGAGAGTTTATGGCCACCGTTCTGGTAGTTGGCCCCATAATCAATTGAAAACGGATTCTGTTTCTTCTTGTGTTTTTTCTTGTTCTCTTCATGGTCAGTTTTCGGGGTTACACAGCAATTACCCATAACGTTGAATCAATCAAAAGCTCAAATGGGTATCAAAATTCGACGCCAAACAACGATCAAAATCAATCAAAATCTTATATTTCTAAACAAAACACACAAACGAAACGGAAGGGGGAAAAAATCTCAAGATCTAGCCTCAAATTTAAGATTCTGATGCAAACCCAGATGAGAAAACAACGTGTATCGTCAATAAAAAGCAAAAGTTTCAAATTACGATGAAGTTTTAAAAATAATCCTAGAAAGTGAGAGAAAAAAAAAAGGGAAGAAGATATGGAGAAAATGGGAGGAGAAAGAGAGGAAATATATGGAATAGAAAAGAGGGGAATGAGGATGAGAAGAGGAATTTAGCGTGTGAAGATCGAAGAAGAAGAAGGAGAAGAGAGAGAGTCAAACATCTTTCCCAGAGACTTCCCTCCTAAGCCCTTTCTTTCTTTCTCTCTCTCTCTCTAAAATTTTGTTTTGTTTTGTTTTGTTTGGGTTGAATGTAGAGAGAGAAATAGGAGAGAGAGGTGTTTTGTTGTTTTCCAAAAATATCCAAAACAAAATCATAAGTGTTTTTGTTTTGAAAAGAAACTAGTTGTCTACAGCTGCCCCCAAATATTGTCTCTATTTGGTAATTAACTTCCAATCACCTTTTTTGTAATGACAATTATACCCTCCTAAATATTCGAAGGTCTAGTCAAAGGTTTATTTTGTAAGAAACAACATAATATGTCCCTCAATTGAAACATGTTTAAACACATGAATAAAGATCAGTTGATAAACACTTTTTATAATTTTCTCTGTTGGCATAATAGCTCGCAATTAGTTAGTTCGTATTTGATTAATTAAGACTCATTACAAGCTGATTGATTACAAGCTTCCACGTAGCTTTTGTGAAAGAAAGTTAATGAGCATGGTTTATGAGTGTAATATTACTGTAAACACATTCTTTTCTTACTAACTTGCAAAAATAATGTGATGTATCCTATCAGCCGTTTTTTTTCTCTTTTGATATTTAGATATTCAAATCAGTTTACGTGTACTTTAACAAGAACTGGTATCCAAATGTATATCCTATTAGCTTTCAACCACTGTGTTATGTGTGTTTGGTTTAAGCAGCCTTAAACAACAAGAATTGAAGTCAAATCTGAAGAAGATAACAAAGAAGTTAGATAGGCAATGTATGATATTTTGAGTAGAAAGTAAAAAGATTTGATCTTAAAGGAGAAGGAAGAAGGTGTCATAATGGTAAATCATGCATCCCTTCTTCCTCAACAATATCATCATTTAACATCATTAATCTCTCATTCACATCACTACCTTTTTCATCATGACGTTTTGTGTAACAAGGAATGTCTCTATACCCATTAACATTAACAACATTTCTCAGTGTTTTTTTTATCATAATAATAATAAATACTCGAATAAATTACAAGCTTCGTTTTGGACTGAACAACCAATTTAGCAGTTGGGGTTACTATTGTAAACTCGCTAGAAGGTTCAATTTCGATCCTTCCTTTTCCCACTATTTCGGATTGGATTATTATTAAAATTTGAAAAAGGGTGTTTTTAGTAAATATGCGTACAACGCGTTGGCTTTCTTACATGTGGTTGGCTATTATTGGTTATATGTTTCCACAGTCAACCATCTAGAAGCCAGCTAAAAAGTAAGTGTGTTGGTGATAAGTAATTATATAATAGAATACATATTACGTAATTAATTAATCGATTAACCATTGAAATATTTACTTTAATACTAGTTCATCAAAAAAAAAAAAAAAATTTCCATCATATTTTCACCCAATTTTGCCGCCGAATTAAAGTGGCAGGAATTTAATTATCATCATGATAAGGGACATTTCTGTCATGAAAGAAAAAGAAAAATTAGACAAAAAGGCTTGCAGTGTTTCCTTTCAGGTCCACATAAGGGGGAGGGTAAAATGGTGATATAGTGGTTTCGAAGATGCATTAAAAGCATCGCCACCTTTTAGCTGACCAGTCAAACTCGACGCTTTTGACTTTAATTTTTAACGTTTGTAATATTTAATATTTTAAATTTTAAATTTACTTTACATATACATTTATGCTTTAAAAACAAGTACAAAGACTAGATGTATAGAGACTAGACTACATTGATTGGAGATTTTATGTACTTCTCCTTTAAAATTAATTTTAACAATTTTTTCATATATATTTTATGCATCTTCTTTCACTTTAATTTTAAAAAGTTACTCTTTTCTAAAAATAACTTAAAACATAGTCTTATTTTAAAATTTTAATCCCCGCAAAACTAAATAATCAATTCATACCGATAAAAACTAATAAATCTCTAAGGTTTTATTATAATAACATTATAAGCTCATTATTTAGGACTACTTGAAATGAATTTTTTGAATGATTTTGATGTTAAGTATAGTATAATTTATAACATGAAATGAGATCCATTGTTTGGATATTAATATTTAAATTATTTTAATTATATGTTGTGAATGTGTATGATATTTATGAGACATATTGGTGATACGGATACCCCACTATCATTATCAAAACTAATTATAATACCGTTTAAATTCCAATTATAACACTTTTAAAATATAATAATTAAAACCATTTAGTAACATATAACAATGATTACTAAACATTTTAATATCAACAACCCAAAAATAACAAAACAAGTATATATCCAATATGACGTAAGAGAATATTATTGGAATTTAGGGTTATTATAAGTTGAAATATGAATTATAAAAATTATAAATCAAGGTGTGAAAGGAATGAATAAATAATATGTGAAATTATTAAATAACGTGGATGTCAAGTGAAGTGGTCAAATTTGGCATTCACGGGATTTGGATATTAAAACCACCAATAAAAATGGACACCTGGACGGTGCCGTATGGGGGAACATCGTGTTTGACTTGACTTTATAACTGTATATGAGATGAGACTGGTATTTTAATAATTTTATTTGTTTTCTGAGTGATATAAAAATAAATACGAAGAAATGCTCTTATATGTTTAAAAGGGATTTTGAAGTCATCATANGGCTTTCTTACATGTGGTTGGCTATTATTGGTTATATGTTTCCACAGTCAACCATCTAGAAGCCAGCTAAAAAGTAAGTGTGTTGGTGATAAGTAATTATATAATAGAATGCATATTATGTAATTAATTAATCGATTAACCATTGAAATATTTTCTTTAATACTAGTTCATCAAAAAAAAAAAAAAAATTTCCATCATATTTTCACCCAATTTTGCCGCCGAATTAAAGTGGCAGGAATTTAATTATCATCATGATAAGGGACATTTCTGTCATGAAAGAAAAAGAAAAATTAGACAAAAAGGCTTGCAGTGTTTCCTTTCAGGTCCACATAAGGGGGAGGGTAAAATGGTGATATAGTGGTTTCGAAGATGCATTAAAAGCATCGCCACCTTTTAGCTGACCAGTCAAACTCGACGCTTTTGACTTTAATTTTTAACGTTTGTAATATTTAATATTTTAAATTTTAAATTTACTTTACATATACATTTATGCTTTAAAAACAAGTACAAAGACTAGATGTATAGAGACTAGACTACATTGATTGGAGATTTTATGTACTTCTCCTTTAAAATTAATTTTAACAATTTTTTCATATATATTTTATGCATCTTCTTTCACTTTAATTTTAAAAAGTTACTCTTTTCTAAAAATAACTTAAAACATAGTCTTATTTTAAAATTTTAATCCCCGCAAAACTAAATAATCAATTCATACCGATAAAAACTAATAAATCTCTAAGGTTTTATTATAATAACATTATAAGCTCATTATTTAGGACGACTTGAAATGAATTTTTGGAATGATTTTGATGTTAAGTATAGGATAATTTATAACATGAAATGAGATCCATTGTTTGGATATTAAAATTTAAATTATTTGAATTATATGTTGTGAATGTGTATGATATTTATGAGACATATTGGTGATACGGATACCCCACTATCATTATCAAAACTAATTATAATACCATTTAAATTCCAATTATAACACTTTTAAAATATAATAATTAAAACCATTTAGTAACATATAACAATGATTACTAAACATTTTAATATCAACAACCCAAAAATTACAAAACAAGTATATATCCAATATGACGTAAGAGAATATTATTGGAATTTAGGGTTATTATAAGTTGAAATATGAATTATAAAAATTATAAATCAAGGTGTGAAAGGAATGAATAAATAATATGTGAAAATATTAAATAACGTGGATGTCAAGTGAAGTGGTCAAATTTGGCATTCACGGGATTTGGATATTAAACCCACCAATAAAATGGACACCTGGACGGTGCCGTATGGAGGAACGTCGTGTTTGACTTGACTCTATAACTGTATATGAGATGAGACTGGTATTTTAATAATTTTATTTGTTTTCTGAGTGATATAAAAATAAATACGAAGAAATGCTCTTATATGTTTAAAAGGGATTTTGAAGTCATCATAAGATTATATTCGTACGCGTCTGGCAAATAAATGTTGTTTGAAATAATTACTTTATAAAATAATAAAATATTTGGGATAAATAGTAATAGACACATCATATGGATGATGAAAATGCATAATAATTAATTAATTAATTAAGATTTGAATAACAACCTTGTCTTTTACGGATATAAATATATTATAATTCTTAATTCGAATATTAACTCCTTCTGGAAAGAACATATTTTATATATGAGGCTTTAACAATAGAGACAAAAAGGCTGGAATTAATGCCTTTGAATTCTGGTTGGGTTTCAAAGCAACAAGCGTGGATTCAATTACATAACCCAACAAAATACCACTCAATTAATTTAATTAATAAACAATAATTTTAAAGATAAATGCATATAATCTTCTAGATAATTAATTAATTTAGTTGAAGAAAGAATTAAAGTAGGACTTGAAAGGTTTCTTAAATTATACTCTAAAAACACTCATTACCTTATTCTATTATAACAATCTTTGCTTTGAGTAAGAGTTAAATGTTTATTTTCCGTTTTAAGAATCTACTCAACCCAAATATTTTAGATAACTCTATAACCAATTATTATCATTATTATTATTATTATTATTATTTTACTTAACTAGTTCTTCGAACCCTGAAACTATTGATCAGGTAAGAACTTCAGTGATTATCCCTATTAGTAACCGAAGAAGAACTCGTGTAAGACTTGAGGTGGCTACATGCCAAAATTATACAGTTCAAGGTGGTTTAAATGAGTTATTCAACTGCCTCTCTTGATTTTTTATGGGAGTTTAAAAGATATCTTGATTAATACGTTAAGAGTCTCTATCGAACTACTCGATCACCTAGGGTAGTTTATAACCAAATGTTTCTACAACTTCTGTATTATTTTAATTATTATATATTTAAATCATAACATAAGATTACAAATTAATGTCAAGAGTCA